CTGTCAACCCCATCTCATCCTCTTGAATTCCCTAAGACCATCTAAGTCAACACCAAGTCCCAACATCCTCAAGTGAACTTCCTCTGTCAACCCCATCTCATCCTCTTGAATTCCTTAAGACCATCTAAGTCAACACCAAGTCCCAACATCCTCAAGTGAACTTCCTCTGTCAACCCCATCTCATCCTCTTGAATTCCCTAAGACCCATAAGTCAACACCAAGTCCCAACATCCTCAAGTGAACTTCCTCTGTCAACCCCATCTCATCCTCTTGAATTCCCTAAGACCATCTAAGTCAACACCAAGTCCCAACATCCTCAAGTCACCCCCTTCTTTTGGACCCCCTCAAACGGGGGCGAGGTGACACCGCAAAGCAACGACCCACCGGTCTACACCGGTCTACACCGGGCCCCACCGGTCGGAACCTCGGAACGTCGGCTTTCGGAGGGACTAAGACGGACTGGACCTTGACGTATCATGACGCGTGACGTGATCGGATTCTTATGATCATTGAATGATCGGATCATCCCCCACTTTTTTTCGCCCCTTGCAGCCCATTGCTGATGCCAAAGCAGGAAGTGTAAAGTCTCGAGTGAATTGCCAAAGCCTGGCCGGTCCCATTCCCTTCTCCGAGGGTCTCCGCTGGGTAAGCGCCGGTAGCTCTTCGCCTGGACATGTGGGACCCATCGATGAGTGGAAGTCAGAGCAAATGGCACTGGCACCCCGAGATGTCTGTTATATAGGAGTCCATATAGCATCATCATGTAATCTAACTTGGGGATTGTGCCATCTACTCTGAAACCACTTGTATGGATTACACCACGAGCTGGGAACTTTTCCTTGGGCAAATCTGAGTTGGTTGGAAACCAAAAAGAAACCTCCTGCAAACTTTGGGAGCTTTTGCTAGGGTTTCACGCTGAGATGGTCAACAAACAGGGACGGAGCTATGCATCTGCATGCATGATCTAAACCCAAGACTTGGAGACCCCCATCACACCACCACCACACTGGCCACACCCTGAGAATGACACCCTGAAACCGTTTTTCATTTTGACCCTGAAAAATAGCTTTCTCTACAAACATCTACCAACCAGTGGTTTTCAAGGGTTTTCAGCTTCCGTGCGAGGCCTCTTCCAGGGTGTACCCGTCCAGTTGTTCTTCGCTCCGACTTGCCTGAGGTTCCTGCTCTTCACCCTCCACCTGGGCGGTACTGTGGGATGCGGGCGGAAGATCTAGGAAGATAGGTGGGGAACACACACCCTCTGACAACCAACATCCTGACAGAGGGTGTGTATTCCCCACCATCCTTGGGGGAAAAACAATGAAAAAAAAAAAACCATCCTGACAAGTCACACGTCCCCCCTGACAAGTCGTTACGTCCCAAATACTCGGTCAAACCGGTGGCTGCCCGGCATCGCAGCTGCCCCCGTCCGGACTGGTGGAGAACCCATGGAAAGCGGCCAGCCGTGAAGGCCAGCAATGGGACCTTGGAACACCTGTTGCCATGGAAGCCATGGAAGCCCGGCATTCAAGCATATGATCGTTGGTGGTGTGCTTTTTGGTGGCGCAGCAGCAATCATAGTCTTCAACAGACTGGCTCTTATGGCAACGGCACGCAAACAACATGAACACCTACATCATCGATTGGGAAGCTGGTAAACACAGTATCAAAGCAAGCCGATACAAACAGGTCGCGTAGCAGTGCTTGTGGAAGGGTTTAAACGATGGACAGCTCTTGGTGTGGGCTGTAGGTGATCTGTTAAGGTCTTGTTGGATGGTAAAGCCACGCGATGGCAGGTCTGTTAAGGTCTGTTGGTGAGCCTAGCATGTGGCTCCGGACTGCAGGTTGTGAGGGTGGAAGGCAGGGACCTGCTCAAAATGCACTCACCCATTCCACGCCAGCCCAAGTGGCAGGAGGCTCCGCGGGTCTGGGACCAGCAGGCTTGGAGGCCTAGCCCGACCCCCCAGCGAGGTAGAGACATGTAGAGACCAAGTGTTGGCAGGTGTAGTAAGTGTAGTATAGCCCAAACACTCCATGTATGCCATATATGCCTACATTGACCCCTCAAAACCCACCCCTGGCCTGGTCGGCAGTCGGCAGTCCCAGACCGGGTCGTGTCTGGGTAGTGTAATACACCTGTTTGGGATTAGATGTTCAGCCCGCCCTTCTTCCGGTGCATCTGTCATCATCATCATCCAATCGTGTCCTGAAGAGGTCTACTCATCTCCACGCCCCTGTCCATAGAAAAGACTCGAGGTCGAGGTCGGATCAGTTTCATCCCACGAGCCATGACCGGCAAAACTTAAGCCTCATTCCACACTGTATACTCCAAGCCTTTTGAGCAGTTCTCTGCGATCTAGTCAGATTACTCACCATAGTGAACAACAACAACAAAAACCACAACCACAACCACACACAACACCTACTACTACTACTACTACTACTCCTACTCCTACTCCTACTCCTACTCCTACTCCTACTCCTACT